AACCGCTCGTCCCAAGCCCCGTTTCAGCTCCAGTACCCAGCGGCGTGATTACACCCTATGCTTTCTCTCCCTTCCTGTCACCTTCAGACTCGGCCCCGGCTGGGCCTGCGCTACCTGTTTCGCCATGTTCTCGGTTCGCATTAGCTGAGGACTGGCACTCAGGATGGGCCGCTAGGTCGAAGATGTGGGCGGAGCGTGAGCCCTACGCAGGGGGCGTGGCGCGGTGCGGCGGGGTGGGGCGTGCGCCCTGAACGTCTTGCTTCCGTCGGCGCCGGGGACAGGGCGTGGAGGCGGGGCTTGCGGGGCTTGGGACGCGAAGGGCGGGGCGAGGTGTAGAAAGGCCTGCGCCCTAGCTGGAGCGGTTGGTTTCCTGGCAGGAAGAGTGTTGGCGGCTTCGTGGCTGTCCTAACAGCTGGCTGCAAGACATCTGTGTTAGGAAAGGGTTTTCTCGTGTAACTTTAGCCGAGGAAGTGCAGATAAGGCTTACAAAGAAGAGATGTGGAAGGTGAGGGACCAGGATTTTCACCAGAAGCATGTGAGAAACAGTGAGAGGACTGCGCGGTCTTCCTGCTCCTTTATACATATTGTGTACACTATGTCTTGAGGATGCAAGATGAGTAAGAAGTAAGTGCCCCTTCAAAGGATTCTCCATTGAGAGAGGAAACAGTTCTGAGAAGAATGAGAACGGGGACACAAAGAAAGGGGGAGGGATTCAGGAAATTTCCCAGGCTCCTATTCCAGCTGCTGCTGAAGTGTGAAGAGAAGTTTTGGTGGTCGATAGGACACCGGGTGAGGAATTTGCAAGGAGTGGGTGCGTGTTTGGGGGTGGAGGGTTAGCGAAAAGTCTCTGGAAGGTGGGTGTGGTTGATGTGTTTTAGGAGTGGGCCAGAGTTCAGAGAGAGAGGGTGAATGGAGTATTTGCCAGTTTACTCTTAAACTGGTTGTTGTGGACGCCGAATTTTATTAAAATAGCTCTGCCAGACAGATAACTCTCTTGGCTCCTTTTCTTCAGTACATACCTTAAGGGTTGGCCATCGCAAAAATTCTGTCCAAAGTCCTTCCCTTCACTTCCCCCTTTCATCCACACTATGGCTTTCAACTTCCATTTATGTAAGAATAGCTTCTAGAGTAGGAATCAGGATGGCTCCTGGTAAATTCTAGGCTTGGACATGTAACTACCTACTAGACATATGTCTCCATTAGGATATCTCACAGTTATCTCAAACTCAACTTGTCTAAAACTCATCTTGTAATCTTTCTCCTTAAAGGCACTCTTCCTTCTGTCTGTGTGGTACCAGCACCTACTAGCCCCACACAGAAACCTGGGAATTACAATTTTTCTCTTTCCTTCAGCTCTCGCAGTCAGTCTGTCACCAAATCCCAAATACCTCTCACATTTTGTGCCTCTTTTCTCCCCCTACTGCTCCTCCCTTTGTTCAGGCTCTCATCATTTCTTACAGGGTTTCTGACAAAGCCTTTCATCTGATTTCTATGTTGCCAGGCTCCTGAATCCAAATCAAACTAATGCCCACTTAGTGATCTTTCCAAAACATACATCAATCCATGCCATTTCCTTTTACCTTTAATAATTTTTGAATGATGTGGGTTATAAGTAAGTAAATGTCATTCTTTTATTTAAAAATTTCAAACTCTGTAGCTGGGCCAGCCAGGCCCTGCATAATGTTTTCTGCTTAACTTTCCATCCTTAATTTCTGCTGCTATTCTGCCATACAAGTCTTGCTTCAACCTTACAGAACATTTGCAGTTACTTAAAAGGACTGTTCTCTCTCTCTCTTTAAAAAAAAATTATTTTTCTTATTCTGAACTCAGATCAAATGTAGAAACCTTCATAGTTACAGAGGTCAGTAGTAAAACCTTTACATCATTGCTCAGAACTGATTAGCCTTTCATATACACGTGTCCCTTACTCGTCCAATCTCATTCATCAGCAAGTCCTCAGTAATCAACCATCACCTTTATAAACACGCACGTGCATGCATGCACAAATACACACACACACACACACACACACACACACAGACAGACATAGGCCCTTATTGTTTTAAATTAGTTTATACTTTTGCTTTTTCAGAACTACAGAGATCAGGCATCAAGCAGACTGGAAGGGCTGATCCTCAGATTTGGATATTTTCATTGCTGATCCATTTCAGTTAAGAGCAGATCTCAGATAAGGACTGTTTTCTTTTTTAAATTCCAGGCCTTTGTATATGACAGAACTTCTGATTGGAATGTAACGAGCTTTTTTCTAGTGAAAAAGAAAAAGGAGCTTTCTAGCAGAGAGTTAACTTTCTTTTCTGTATTGCAGATATATTGTCTATCTTCTGGGAAGAAATGCTTGCATTTTTGTGATACTTTGCTTACCAGAATAATAGACAGAATTTTTAATTTCTGATCTGGTATATAAGGATTTTCGAAGTTGTCACTCAATCCAAATGAGTAAAAAGCTGAGCAAACTGAGAAGTCAGAAACTCTTCTCAAATCCATCAGAGAAGAAGAAAGAGACAGGAACAGAAGCAATATTTGGAGCAATAATGACTGAAAACTTCCTCAAATTAATGTCAGACACCAAACCACAGATGCAAGAAGCTCAGAGAACATTAAGGAGGCTAAATGCCCAAAACAAACAAACAAACCTACAGCTAAGCATAACATATTCAAACTCCAGAAAATCAAAGTTAAAGAAAAAAATCTTGAAAGAAGCCAGGGGGGATAAATACTTTACCTATATAGGTGCAAACATAATAATTAAATTCGATTTCTCCTCAGAAACCATCCAAACAAAAAGAGAATTAAATACTTAAAGTGTTGAGAGAAAAACCTCTCTAATCTAGAATTTTGCATCCTGTCACTTTATCCTTCAAAAGTGTAGGAGAAATACTTTCCCAGACAGATAAAAATAGAAAAAATTGTTGCCAGTAGACCTGCCTTGCAAGAAATGTTAAAAGTTCTTTGGAGAGAGGGAACAATGGTATAGGTCAGGAACTCAGATCTGTATAAAGAGAGGAAGAGATTGAAGATACATAAATGACGGTAAAATAAAAACTTTTATTTTTCTTATTCTTAGTTGATCTAACAGATAACACTTTGTTCAAAATAATAATACCAATATGTTGATTTATAGTTATGTATAAGTGAAATGAATGATAGTAATGCTATAAGGGTTGGGGGAAGAAATTAGGATTACTTTGTTATTGTAAGGTACTAGCCCTACCAGTGAAGCAGGATAGTGCTAATGAAAGTAAACTTGAAGTATAAATTTGTAGTTACAAAACTGTCATGAGGATGTAAAGTATAGCATAAGAAATATAGTCAATAGTATTGTAATAACTATGTTTGGTGTCAGATGGGTACTAGATTTATTGGGTGGTTACTTTGCTTTGTAAGTTATATAAATTTCTGATCACTATGTTATACACCTGAAACAAATATAATAAGTCAACTGTAATTGAAAAATAAAAATTTATTTTAAAAAAGTGAACTTGGATTGGTTGTAAATATACATTGCAAACTCTAGGGAAATAGTAAAAAAAAAAATTTTGAAAGAAATAATTGATATACTAAGAAAAGAAAATGAAATCATAACACCAGAGAAGGCAGAAAAAGACGAGAAGACAAAAATAGTAACAAAGAAAAAGGGCAACAAATAGAAACCAGTAACAAATATGATATTAATCCAACTTATATAAATAATCACGCTAAAAGTGAATAGTCTAAATGCACCAATTAAAAGACAGAGATTGTCAGTGTGAATCAAAAAACAAGATCCAAATATATGTTGTCCACGAAAAAACTTTTAAATAGAAAGGCACGTATAGATTAAAAGTAAAGTGATGGAGAACAATATAACATGTTAACACTAATAAAAAGAAAGCTAGAATGCTGTATTTCAGACAGAGCAGACTTCAAAGCAAGAAACGTTGAGGTATAAAGAGAGGCATTTACCTAATGATAAGAAGATCAATTCTCCAAGCAGACATAACAATTCTTAATGTGTATATGCCTAGCAACAGAGCTTCAAAATACATGAGATAAAAAGTGATAGAACTGCAAGGAGAAACATAAATTTATTTTAACAGTTGGAGACTTAAACATGCCTCTATCAGAAATGGACAGATCCAGCAGGCAGGAAATCAGCAAGGGCATAGTTGAATTCACCAACATTGTTAATCACCTTGATATAACTGACACCTAATGGACTATTTCACCCAAAAAGGGCAGAATACATTTTTTTTCTTAAGCTCACATGGAACATCCATCAAGATACACCAGTTTCTGGGTTATAAAACACATCTTACCAAATTTAGAGAAATAAAAATTATACAGTGTATGCTCCCTGACTACAATGGAATTAAACTAGATACCAACAGCAGAAAGATAACTGGAATAACTGGAATATACAGGAGCTTAAACCAAACATTTCTAAATAACACATGGGCCAAAGAAGAACTCTCAAGAAAAATTAAAGAAGTATTTGAACCTAATGAAAATGAAAACACAACAAAATTTGTGGGATACAGTGAAAGCAGTTCTTAAGGGGATATTTATAGCTTGAATGCATATATTGGAAAAGAAGAAAGATAAAAACATCTATGCTTCCACTTTAGGAAAGTGAAAAAAGAAGAGCCCATTAAATCCAAAGTAAGCAGAACAAAAGAAATAATAAAATTTAGAGTAGAAATTTATGAAATTGAAAACAGCAAATCAATTGAGAACATCAACAAAATCAAAACCTGGTTCTTTGAAAAGACCAGTGAAAATGATAAGCCTTTATCTAGGCTAAGAAAAAAAGAGAGCTACACATTACTAATACTAGAAATGAAAAAGACATCACTGCAGATCCCATGGACATCCAAAGGATAATAAACTAATACTATGAACAACTTTGTGCCCACAAAGTTAGCAATCTGATCAAATAGACAAAAGACACAATCTGTCCAAAATTCACACAAGAAGAAATAGATCATGTGAACAGGCCTGTATCTATTAAAGAAATTTAATCAGTAGTTAATAACCTTCCAAAACAGAAAGCACGAGGCTCAGATGGGTTCACAGGTGAATCCTATCAAATATTTAAGGAAAAAGTTATACCAGTTATCTACAATATTTTTCAGATGGTAGAAGCAACGGGAAGATAGATCGTTACTAATTCATTCTGTGAGGCCAGCATTACCCTAATACCAAAACCAGACAAAGCCATTACAAGAAAAGAAAACTACAGACCAATATTTCTCATGAACCTAGATGCAAAAATCCTCAACAAAATATCATAAAATTGAATCTAACGATTTATGAGAAAGTTATATGGCACAACCAAGTGGAATTTATCCCAGGCATGCAAGGCTGGTTCAACATTTGAAAATTAATGTAATCCATGACATCAACCTTAAAAAGAAAAATCACATAATCATATCAATAAATACCGAAAAAGCATTTGATGAAAATCCACCCCCCATTCATGGTGAAAACTTTCAGGAAATCAGGAACAAAGGGAATTTTCTCAAGTTGATTAAGAACATTTACAACAAATCTATAACTAACAACATACTTAATGATGAGAAACTAGAAGCTTTCCCACTAAGATCAGGCACAAGGCAAGGATGTCCCCTCTCACTACTCCTTTTCAATATGATACTGGAAATCCTAGCTAATACATTGAGGCAAGAAAATAAAATAAAAGGTATTCTGATTGGCAAAGAAGAAATAAAATTGTCTTTGTTCCCAGATGACATAATTGTGTATATAGAAAATCTGAAAGAATCCACAAAAACCTCCTGGAACTAATAAGCAATTATAACAATGTTGCAGATACAAAGTAATATACAAAAGTCAATTGATTTCTATACACAAGCAGTGAACAAATGGAATTTGAAATTAAAAATACAATACCATTTTACATTAGCATGTTAAAATATGAAATAGGTGTAAAGCTAACAAAATAGCATAACGTCTATATGAGGGAAAACTGCAAAACTGTGATGAAAGAAACCAAACAACTAAGTAAATGAAGAGATATTTTATGTTCATGGATATGAAAAAATATTGTCAAGATGTCAGTTCTTCCCCACTTGATCTATAGATTCAACACAATCTCAATCAAAATCTCAGCAGGTTATTTTGTGGATATAGACAAACTAACTCTAAAGTTTATATGGAGAGGTAAAAGACCCAGCATACTCACTCAGTATTGAAGGAGAAGAGCAAAGTTGGAGGACTGACACTATCTTACTTCAAGATTAACAATAAAGCTATAATAATCAAGACAATGTAGTATTAGTAAGAGAACAGACAAATGATCAATGGAACAGAATAAGGAGCCCAGAGATAGACTCGTGTAAATATAGCGAATGACCTTTAAACATAGAAAAGAAAATACAATGGCAAAGAAAATATAAAAGAGAAAAGATAATCTTTTTGAAAATGATGCTGGAACAACTGGCCATCCACATATAAAAAAATGAATCTAGACACAGACCTACATGATTCACAAAAGTTAACCCATAATGGATCTATAGACCTGAATGTAAAATGCAAAACTATAGAAGTTCTAGAAAATAATATGTGAGAAAATCTAGATGACCTTGGGTATGGCAATGACTTGAAATACAATACCAGAGACATGATCCATGAAAAGAATAATTGATAAGATGGACTTCATTAAAATAAAAACGATATCTACTCTCTTGAAAGACACTAACAAGTGATGGGAGAGATGGAGCATGTAAGGGAGAAGAAGCAAACCCCTCACTCCTTCCCCACTGCAGGTGTAATTTCCTGGAGTAGCAATGGCAGCCAAGCCAGTGGTGGTGGTGTTCTGTGTCCAGGGGTGATATTTTTGGTTCAGCCTGTAGCATCTGGGGTCCGTGGGCAAGGAAAGTAGTGACCAGATCAATTCTGCTGTAAGGTGTGGACATAATTTCAAATTGTATATCTCTGAAAGTGTGTTCTAGTTCTCGATAATTCTATGACCTACCCAATTTCCTCTTAATAAATTTTTATTATTTTAAATTAACCAGAATTGATTTCTGTGACTTGCGATGAAGTCAATAAAAAACAGTAGCAGTCATAGATACAGAGAACAAACTGATGGTTGCCGGAGGAGAGGATACCGTGACCTGCACGGCTAGAGGGTTAATATACCTGAG